GCACATATAACAATTATACTTAAAGGGAAAGATAGCACCAGTGTTCCAGTTACAAGCCTATATCTTTACTAAACACAGACACCAATGTATGCTAAGGTATTGGCAACCAGATTGAAGAAGTTGATGCCGGAGTGAATACACCTGGATCAGGTAGGATTCATTCCTGGAAGAGAAGGTAGGGACAATGGCCTGAGGTCATTGCTCCTTCTACAAAGGGTAAAAAGAGAAACTGTCAATTGAAGCCAAAAAGGCTTTTAACAGAGTTAACTGGGGCTTCATGATTGATACATTAGAGGTCATAGGAATAAGGCCTCAAATGTAAAGTTGGATAAAAGGGCTTTCTAGTACTCCGTCAATGGTGGTTAAGGTCAACGGATCCCTCTTTCAGTTTTTTAAACTGTTTAACGGAACCAGACAAGGATGTCCACTCTCTCCTCTATTGTTTGTTTTATCCCTGGAACCTGTCCTGGTGAGGGTAAGAAAGTGTGTAGACATATTAGGAATAAAGATAGGGGAAGTGGCAGCATATGCAGACAATATGTTGTTCTTTATTGTAAATCCTAGAATAACGTTGCCCAATTTAATGAGACTATTAAAACAGTACAGTGAGCTATCAAATCTGAAAATAAACCCCGCAAAGTCAGAGATCTTAAACATCAATATATCAAAGATCGAGAAGCTGAGTCCACAAAAAAAGACTTTCCCTTTACTTGGAGGGAAAATTAAATAAACTACTTGTGGATAAAACTAACTCCTTCAATAAAAACTCTGTACCAGGCAAATTACATTATTAAATTAAAGAGGAGCTGGGGAGATAGTCAAAAGATGAAGCTTCTTGGGTAGGCCGTATAAATCTGGTAAAGTTGGTGATAGTACCAAAGGTCCTGTATAAGTTTCACATGCTTCCAGTACACCTTCCAGGATCTTTCTTCAGGATAACAAAGAAAATGATACTCAAGTTCATCTGGGCAAACAAGAAACCGATAATTAAGTATGAGGTATTGTGTAGGTCAAAGGGAAATGGGGGTTTGGGTGTGCCTAATGTTAAGAAATATTATCAAGCTGTGATATTATCACGAATAATAGATTGGATATTTAATTCACAAGAGAAAGGTTGGATAAATATGGAAGGGACTTTGAGCAAGACACAGTTAGGGAAGATGGTTTGGGTACCACATACATTTTGTACATTAGATGTGAATATTAGTCAACGGACAAAGAAAGTTAAGTGTTTGGGATAGAATGTATAAACAAAAGGGATGGGAATATAATTCAGTTATGATTCTCTTGGCATGGACAGAGTATTTCCCCCCCTAAATAAGGGGAAATTGCACACTTTTTTAGAATTAAAAAGGGAAAAAAATAGTTTTATACATTAAATGAATGGCGGTACGGTCAATTAGGTAATTTTGTCTCAATGCTCCCACAACCATTGAGGACATCGGAGGATCTGTATCCATTTAAAAAATTGTTGAATGTAACTTTGGTTCCTAAAAAGGGTACCTATAAGATCTATAAGATTCTCATGGATATGGAAAGTACCGATCCGCCTCAGTTCTTGGAAAAATGGGAACAGGAGCTTGGAACAAAACTGAATGATCAGCAAAAGAATAAAATATTCAAATTAACACATGAGGTGACAAATATGAGCACAGTTGAAATTAATTATAAATGTTTGGCTAAATGGTATATCACACCGAGTAATGCACATAAACAAGTAGATGTTCCTCCTTTATGTTGGAGAGGATGTGGGGAAAAGGGCTTGATTCTCAAATGTTGGCTAACCCCAGATCCACCAAGAATAAAATGATTGGGTAAAGAGTGTGGAAAATATTTACAGGATGGAGGAGTTGTGTCATATTGAAGAGGATAGAATAGAAACATTTAGGAAAACGTGGAGTAGCTGGTTAATTTACAAAACATCTAAAAGATGTATGGAACTGGTTGGAATATAAGGGGAAGAGTACAAGAAGGAGCTCTAATGGAGTACCCGATAGAAAGAAGGAGATGGGATGGAATGGATACACAGATATAGATAATCACGAGAAAAGATAGATGTTAGGAACTCTAATATGGATTGGGGTAAAGGGAGAGGGGGAGGGAAGGAGGATGCGCGGGGTGAGGGAAAAGAGGATTCAAATGAAATGTATGTATTGGTGAAGTTTCTTTTTCATATTCTTGTGTGATTTAGATGCTCTTTTTGTACTGGAAAAAAAAATAACTAAAAGATATAATAAAATAAAATCTCATGTTTGTTAATACCTTGAGAGACCATTATCAATAACCTGTCCATATCTGGACTATGCTAATTTTCCCCACAAATGGACAGTCAGCACAAAAATAGTTTGCACCACACCCAGTCTTCTGTATGGGTAACGTAGGAGCAGCACCACTCTACAAATAGGTTAATTGGATCCTGTCTAAATTGGCCCTTGCATGTGTATGTATGGATATAAAAAAAAAAGTTAGGGACCTTAGATTATACGCCCCTTGAGGGTTAGTTAGGAAATGCTGTAAATGTCCAATATATATGTAAAGCGCTGCGTAACTTCACAGCACTATATAAGTACCTGAAATAATACTGTAAATCCCTCCCCTAAGCAATGATGTAGAGCCTAATGGTTCACAATAATGCACCTACCTCCCCCAATTTGACTCCTACTGGGCAGTGGACTACAGAAAAGCTATTAGAAACATTGATTTGCATCCTTACATTATCAATATATAAAAATTAAACATAAGGTTTTTAATAGGAATGACTATCTGGATTAAATAGTGGTTTGTACATTTGCCCGAGGTTCAGTGGTAAATGTGTGTGTCAATATGAAGCCATTTTGTGTCTAAAAAGTAAATGAGTGATGACACTGGATAGTGTTTAATTTGATTCTTGGACGCTTTATCTTAAAAAAAAAAACCCACATGCACAATGGTCATTAACAACTTGGACTATGACTCTTCGTAACCTAAACCTTGATTTCAAAAGCATTCTCAAACTTATGCTTTACTTTGTCAACCTACAATTCAACATAAAGGACATGTTACATAAGCAGTGACTATAGGGTTATGCATTTACAGGAGAACATTGCTTATAAGCCTGATTTAAACTGAACTACCAACATTTCTGATACTTTATCTATAAGATGGCCTTTGGACTATTTTTTAGCTGCTTACATTAGAGTCCTTGGATCATTATGTAGCTGGACATTTGCTACACTAGCAACAAATGCTAAATATAAGTAGACATAGGCTCTATCCATAAAAATCGCATCTATCTATATGATGGATTATAGGAAGCCAGCTGTTTATGGGTATCAATTTTACATTTAAATCAGAAGTTCAAACATGAAGGTTGAATAAAAATCCCAAGAGACAAGATATTTCACTTAACATTCCAATAGGATTAAAATGTCACAGAGATGCCTATAGCTTTTACTGGATTACACCCCTACTAAAAATCAGATTGGTCAACAAGGCAGGGCAAAAGGACAAAGTTAAACAGAAAATAGTATTGAGCTCCATTATCTGTTGCTTGCTTATAAGTGCTGTGGAATCATGAAAACATACAACGCCATCAAACACAGATTTTTGCATGACAATTGGACCTTGTTTTTTTTTCTGCTGAATTACATTTATCTTGGGCTAAATTATCCATTTTTAGAGAATTCACTAGAGGGAAGGGGACACAGACAGGTCACATAAACAAAAACACAAAAAAAGATGTGCTGTTCATGTATGTTCATGTATGTGGTCAGCTGGAAATACTGGCTTTAGTTTGATCCACCATATTGGTTGGCGGTCTTTCCAATGAAAAAAGGATTTAGCTTCATCCTATGCAGGTACACCTGGACCAAGATAAAAGAAAGTGAATATATTGATGCAGATTTTGTTAAAGTGCATGCTATTAATAGTTTTTTATAATCAGTATTTTGGCAGTTTGTATTAAAGTGGTTGTAAACCTCAGATGTGAAATTTGAACAAAACATATCTTCTAAAGTGTGTATCTCAGTTAAATGCAATAAGTGTCATTTCGGTCTACTAGTTCCTCTGTTATCAGCATCACTTCTGACAAGTGTTCCAGACACCAAGAGAAAAATTGGGACAGGGAGGGACCTCCAGCAGATTGATAGCCTCAGCTCTGTTCCTGTGAGCAGTGTGGAGAGGGTGTGTCTCTTCCCTCCAATCAGCTCTCAGAGCTCTCCTTGCTGTGCTCTACAGATTTTATTGTGAGCTCTCCGCCACCTGTTTTCTGAACTATCAGACAAGCTTTAAAAATTTTGGACTTTGAATGGATGTAGAGAAGAGTAGAAGAGAAGACTGTAGATAGACAGGTACAACTTATGTAGGAGGATTTGTTTCATCTCTGTATATCACCTGAGGCCAGTCATTTCACTGGGTAATGTAGGCATTTACAACGACTTTAAATGGTTTGCTTTAGATCATACATACATCCTAGCAATGAACTAGTCTTATCTGATTCTGGTCCCTTATACATATTTGAAATTGTTCCATAAGTGAAAAATACCTAGTAATCCTGCTGGAAATCTAATGAGCTGATGACTTCCTGTGGTGATGGCTATCAGTTAGTAATGTTCCTAGTTCTCTCTTTGGACTATAGAATACCACCCTCCTATGTTATGAAAAAGATGAGTGGATGTTCTGAAATCTTAAAGCTGAACTCCAGGGTAAGGAAACCGCTTCCCTTGCAGTGGGGCTGCCCCTGCATTGCAAGAGTTAAATGCCTTTTATGTCTAGGGGGCCACAAAAATCAGTTTTACTTACCCCATCCCTTTGACCTAAAACATTTAACCCTCGCAGTGTATGGGAGAGCCCCACTGCAAGGGATATTTTTCCTTTCCCTGGAGATAGGCTTTAACCACCTCCCGCCCGCCATATAGTAATATGACGGGCGCAAGGTGGTTCTCTCGTTCTGGGAGGACGTCATTCTCATTCTCACTGCGCATGCGCAGCTCAGGGAGCGCGCAGCGTGGCGATCGGCGGTGTGCTGTGTCCCTCGGACACAGCGGATCACTGATCACAGAAAGAGCCGAAGATGTCGGCTCGCTCATGTGATCAGCTGTGTCCAATCACAGCTGATCACATGTAAACTGGGAAATGCCGGTTATTGGCATTTCTCTCCTCTCAAGCAGTCACGCTGACAGCTCGAGAGGAGAGGAGAGCCGGTAATTGGAGGGGACATGTACACTGATCATCAAAGCACTGATGATCAGTGTGCCCTGATGATCAGTGTAGCCCCAGCAGTGCCTCGTGCCAGTGCTCATCAGTGCCTCGTGCCAGTGCTCATCAGTGCCACATCAATGCCACATATCAGTGCCTACCAGTGCACAACAATGCCACATATCAGTGCCCATCTGAGCTGCCTTTCAGTGTCACCCATCAGTGCCAGTCAGTGCCGCCTAACAGTGCCAGCCAGTGCCGCCTAACAGTGCCAGCCAGTGCCGCCTAACAGTGCCAGCCAGTGCCGCCTAACAGTGCCAGCCAGTGCCGCCTAACAGTGCCAGCCAGTGCCGCCTAACAGTGCCATATATCAGTGATGCCTGTCAATGCCCATCAGTGCCACCTACCAGTGCCTCCTCATCAGTGCCCATCAGTGCCACCTATCAGTGTCCATCAGTGCAGCTTATCAGTGCCAATCAGTGCAGCCTCATTAGCGCACATCAGTGAAGGAGAAAAATCTTATTTACAAAATTCTATAACAAAAACTAAGAAAAAACATTTTTTTTTTCACAATTTTCAGTGGTTTTTGATTCAAGAAAAAATAAAAAACCCAGAGGTGATTAAATACCACCAAAATAAAGCTCTATTTGTCACAAAAAAAATGATAAAAATTTAATATGGGTACAGTGTTGTTTGACCGTGCAGTTGTCATTCAAAGTGCGACAGCGCTGAAAGCTGGAAACTGGCATGGGCAGGAAGGGGGTATAAGTGCCCTGTAGGCTAGTGGTTAAACACTTCCTGACAATTCTTCTTCTACAAAGACACATACAGTGACTGTTGTCACCTTAGAACAGGAAGTATGCTACTGGCAGGATCACCAGATGAAAATAAATGAATAAACTTGTAAAAGAAGAACACTAATGCAGTCAGTACATCTAAGGATTGGTAAACTACAATAACTTACATCTTTGTTCTTAGATTTAGAAAAAAGCTTTGACTTGTCCATTCTTTACCCGATTCCACAGTGGATTTTGAAATAGCCCTTTGGTACCATTACAGTACTATATTATGATTGATAAAACTTTTGGCAGTGTAATAAGTGTTTGTAATAACAATTAATATTGATAAGTATGTGTATGTTTTTGTCATGTAACTTTTTTTTTTTTTTTTGCTTCCCTCTTTTTTTTTTTTTTAATTTAACAAGGAAAAAAATTAGTTTTCTATACCTTTTGTCAACAGACTCTTTGACAAAAAAATGCTGTACATTTTTAGATTTCCCTGCTTGGAGCATAACTTCTAGAAATTTTTTATGTTAGCTCTTAACATCCTCCCTTCCCCCATCCATTCGTTTACTCCCTACAGTGATGCTGGGTTGACACTAGAAAGGCATGTGATACTATGCGTTGTGCTGTCTTAAGGATTCCATTCCAGTGGCTTCAGGAGCTAAAAGGAATGAAATCATTAAAGAAAACAAGCTAAAAATTGTATAAATGCAAGATGTTTTCACTATGCACAGAAAAATGATGTATTGGTGTGAACATTTCTATAAAAAAAACAAAACAATGTATTTTCTTTAGACCATGTACTTAGCTGTATTTGATAATGTAGTTGCATGTATGGCAACTTATCCAATGTGAAGAAACCCTAAATGCAAGAAGAGTTCCAGGGAGTGTGAAACTTTTTATTGCAAATTACTGCAATGCGGTAATGTGAATGGGCCCTTACTACCAATAAACTACAGTAGCTGAGCACTGACAGCACAATGAAAGATTAAAAGATGAAAAAAATAGTACAAAGAATGTTTCGGCCATAGACATTAAAGTGGTTGTAAAGGCTCAAGCTACAAGACCTTCTGTGCCCAGCAGCGCCCCAGCCCCTCCTAAAACTTAACTGAGCCCCATCTCAATTCAGCAATGTGCACAAGAGCCTCTGCCTCCTCAATGGCAGAGACAGCAGTAGTAGCCATTGGCTCCCGCTGTCAATCACAGCCAGTGAGCAAATGAGAGCAGCGGATTGGGAGCAAGCCTGCTAAGGTGCCCCATAGCAAGCTGCTTTATATGGGGGCACTAGGCAGGAAGGAGAAGCCTGGAGTGGACTCAAAGAGGAGGATCGGAGCTGCTTTGTGCAAAACCACTGAACAGTGCAGGTAAATATAACTTTTTTTTTTTAAATAACTACCTTTAATATCACTTTAACATATCAATTTGGCCGGCTAAAGTATTGTTAAAAGAAATTGAGAAGGACAAGAATAGCAGTTAAACCAGTCATTGATGGTTTGAATCTCAGTCAGTTCAGAAGGGACCGGCCAAGATTTGATTCATCTATGTCCAGGCTGATTGTACCTAAATTGATACATTGACTTGGGTACAACCAGCATGTCAGATTTCTAGCATGCGATTATTGCCAGTGGCAATAGAAGCTAGCAATAATCACTGTTTTTCCAGCAGGGACAGCTTCCCTATGCAAGAACCTTTATTAGACCCCTTCATTTCAACAGGGAAAACAGAAAAAAGGTACCATTGACAAATGTCTTCCAATCCTTACCTGGCTGAAAAGTGTTTACACGATAACAAGTGGAGGTCCCAGCACCCTCCCAACCCACATCTAATGTAAATTGGCCCATTATATTTCCCCATTGTAAATTTTGTGCAAATGGAGGACCTATCTCTGCAAGCTTGTGCTCACACACGGTCACACAGGCCAGTTCTGGAGGAAAGACATTTAAAAGCTATCATTTGTTTTTGGAATGTAAAGGAAGAAACCAAAGTGCATAAAAGGAAAACCAATAAAGTAGGCTGAACGTATGAACACCAAGCAAGGGTCCTTAATAGGCATTGAATCAGAATCCTAAGGATACACTATTATTATAGATAAACTCATTTTCATCACACGCAAACATATGGCTCTAATGCAAGATGTTTTATAGTTTATTTAACAAGACAATCAGATTTTTTAGCCATGTGGTAGGATTCCTTTATGTCTATCCTTGCTTCCCCAAGGAAGACTAGAAGAGACAAAGATAAAAGGCTGATGGATTATGTGTCAGCTGAAAATTAAACCAGCTGTGTCCCTAGTGTAATGGTTTGTCTATTCTTATCCATTTACTCGCTGGGGTGATGAGGGTCTAAAACGTTTTTTTTAATACATTTTCTAATAATTTATTTTCTACTAACAAAGTTCAATACAAACAATTTACATCTAAATCCAGAATTGTGGGAAGGGTGTATAGTAGCTCTGGGTACTAGCTGGCTGGCCCTTGTTTGATAATCTTATTATACAGTATTTACTTTATGGTAGTGCAAGGAGGAAACAAGGGATCAGTATTTCTGCAGATGAAAAGTAACAGATGGACTTGCAATGTACTTGTACTCTATCAATTGTTCCTGTATTCTCTTTGCTAAAAATAAAGAGAAAAACGTCAAGAAAGTTACATTTTGTTGTTTGATATAAAGGTGTATGGGCCTGTACAGCTGCGAAGATTGAAGGTCATTGGGCCCACCCAACGAGAGAGCTCCCTTTCTCTCTCACCCCCTCCTACTAGCACATATTCCCCTCATTCCTCCTAGCAAATACCACCTCTCCAAAATCTCCATTACACTTTCTAGAAAAAGTGAAGGAAAGCGGTGTTGTGTTCTCTGGGCTCTCCCTGCTGTTGTCCATGCAGCACATGAGACAGGATCACTGATAGATCATATGGGACTACACACACAACATGATTACCAACCTCTACCCACATTTCCTGCTGCCCGGAGATGATCAGCCCTTGAAGGAGGTAGGGGGTGGTAAGCATACTGTGTGCGTGCAGGCAGTCCCATACGATGTATCAGTGATCTTGTCTCATGTGCTGCAAGGACGACAGCAGGGAGAGCCCAGAGAACACAACACAGCTCACCTCCTCCTGGTTCTTTCCTCTCCACCACTTCTCTTCCTGCTCCTGGTCCCAGCTCTGAATGTGAGCCGGGGAAGGAGCTCAGCAGCCACTGAGGAAAACCAGGGCACCCCCTCGATCCAATATATTCTCAAATCAGCCCTCAGTTTTTCATATAGCACAGGATCACGGATACCATCACTTGTTAAGGTGCAGCCCTCCAAAGATAGGGGAGTCTTGGTACTAGCAAAAAAGAATAAGAGAATACCGTGATACAAAGAAATTTATTGTGATAAAAACAAATGGATACTCACAAACCAATAGGTCAAAAAAACAGAGAGAGAGAGAGAGCCACAATTGACGGTCCCAAACAGCGGGCATCCTGTAGTGGAAAGAGCTAATGCATTTCAGGAGTCAAGCTCCCATCCTCAGAGCACAGATGCTATACATGTGGATGGTCAATAAATAGGGGACCAAATGGTAAAGGGAGCAAAAGCACCCCCTCTATCCGGCCAGGTCTTTCTCTCCCTCCAGCAGCACAAAGCCGGAGGGAGGGAGAGGGGAGAAACTGGCTTTCAGATGCTGGAGGGAGAGATACACAGTGCATTGTTCTGTACCTGCTCTCCTCCACCACACCGATCCTCCTGCTGTCCGGGCCACCTACAGGAGTATCGGCGGTACCCCTCAGATGGTGGCCCTGCATGAGTCAGTCCACCGCTGCTCACCAGATGCCTTGTTTGCCTTGCGGTAAATACAGTGCTGTACCAAAGCACAGAACAACTGATTTATGATTCTTAGGACTCTAATTCTTCTATACCCCTCTAATATTTGCTTATTCTCATTAAAATTGTATTTACAAAAAAATCTAAAGCTGACCTAGCATCTGTGTATTGCAGTATCTCACAGCTACCAATCTGATGCAAACAAGCCTGTGAATTAATTCATTTCCAGACACAAGGAAAGAAAAAAAATAAAGCATTATACATGCTTTAGGAAGCACCCTTCCACTAAACAAGCAAACAGCTTTATACTCGATGGCTACAGCGGATTACAAGAACTAATTTTTCCATAGTTGCTGTGTTGGCTGGATAACATTAGACATTAACAAACTGCTTTTTCACTTGCTACCTGGAATTTCTTGGAAATACTACCATGCCCAAGTAATGTTTTCAAGGGTCATGCATAGTGATCAACGGTGATGTCACCGGATTCTTCCTCTACCCTCTGTATACTCTGCACTCATTGCATGCAAGTAGATACTTTGTGTGAAGCCTATCATGCCCCATTTCCAGAACACAGCACACACTGTGTGCTATACATTCAGCATACTGTATAGGCACAAATTTAACGTATAGTTTTGCAAAAGGATGGGTTAATGATAAATACAAAGCATATGGAACCAGAGCATGCAATATATGTTAATGACATATTCTCCTGCGTGTCCACGTATGGCTTGCTTCCAACTTTCCCATATGATAGTCTATTTACATATTATTTAGGCAGGAGAGATGATGCAATGGTATCAGGACATTATGCAAGTCTCCATCTTTCAAATTACACTTTCTATGGTTTTTGACACAATATGGTGGTCAGCACTTTTTTTCAATTACCTATATGAGATTTAGCTATCTATGTGAACAACCTAATGTGTTCGATACAACTACTGAGAAAATAAAAATATTACTGTACTTACATACAGCACCTCCCAACGTCTGAATATAAGAAAATGGGACACCC